TGTGATGTAACTCCATCATCATACTACCACGTATACTGGCGTGAGATGGCAGTGAAATTGACGAAATGGCGGTTTGTTCGGAAAGACAACGAACTTATACATGTACCTCCTTGCTTTCATAGATTTTCTGAAAATTTAAAGAGTTTGTCAAGACTCTGGATAAGTCTGCAAAAAATAGGAGTGAAAAAATTACGGGATATAAATTAGGGTTACTTGGAAAATTAGTTTGGTCAAATACGGTCCACATGTGGTAGCAATGACAATCCTACCATTCCTCAGTTTGTGGGTGGCATGAAAACAGTCCTGGTTCAGAAGCTATCTGTCACACTACGAGGGACAAACTGTGACCAGGCTGATGACAAAAATATTAATGAGTTTGTGGCCTTTTTGGAAGTAGCAATAAACTGTCGAACTGTAGACTCTGATGCCACCCCTGTCTTGATCCGGGCCCATGAGCCAGCTGATCCTCCTCCCAGGCCATTCAACAAACTCACACGTCAATAGCCCTAATTGACGTTTGGTGTAATCTGTACTAAAGTCCTTGAAGCCACTGGTAGGTGCCAGGTGTGCACAAAAGACCTGACAACCGATGTGCTGTCATCAGACTTTACATTTCAACTAATTTTACGAGAAACGAGAGGAAGTCTTGACCAGCCATCTGCGCACCTCACCAATAGACCCTTTCAGATTTGGGAAGTGAAGAACAAGGCCAAGAACAAAGCCGGAATCAGATGGTGGGGGGAGCGGCTCGACGCGCTCTGAGCGCCATCTAGCGGTGGAAGCGCTATGCTCTGTGCTGTTTGACACACGGTGAAAACGAAGTCCCATTTTTTGAGGGAAAGGGGAAAACTTTGAGGAAATCAGTAACTTTGAGGGATCTTTCTTGAAAAATAAGAACGACCCTCAAATTAAGTCACAAATTTTGAGGAAGCCCCTCAATGTTGGCGTGGCCAACATGACGAGCTGCTGCGCCCACCTCGCTACTTTAGAGCCTTGTAGCAACTGATCAAATTGTCAGTTGGTCAAATTTAATGTGTTTCTCTTAGTTGGCTGAGCGATTAGCGAAGCCCATAACTCCAGTGACCGGAAAAGTTTCATTCTGTTTGTTTGTCTGTTTGTCTGTCCACACGATAACTCGAGAAAGAATTGAGAGAGCGAATTGGGGAATTTCATGGTCGTTTTGTATCATAAAGAGACAGATCGAGTCCGAAGATGAGCATTGTAGCTCAAAATTGACTTTCAAAAAAATCAAAAACCACAGGTCGCAAACTATTATTTTTTTCAAATATTTTGTATGGGCTTCTAAGAGGTAAAGCATGAAACTAGAATCTTCGAGGCGAAAATTTCGTCCGTTTTGCTCTATCTTGTACCGTTTCGGCGCTATGGGTCATTTCTTGGAGAAAACAACATGAAAAAGACAAAATGGTCTATTCATCGTAGAAAAGGCTTCATGTCACAGAATTTTAAAGGGAGTAGTAATACTTAAACCACACATTACGGGTCGAACCACACCCTCTTTTGGGCTTGAGGGTCCCTAGATTATCTAGTATCACTAAAGTCCCATACATGTTTTCTTATTGGTTGT